TAATAAGCCTATTCTTTTTGGCTGAACTTTTGCACCAGTTCATCTTTCTTCCTTTTCTATTCAGGAGGAAAGAAGAGGAAAGAAAATGAACTGGTGCAAAAATTCAGTCCAAAAGAACAGTCCTAATGACAGGCAAAAAAAAATGCTGAAAGCAGTCGTACATCACATTATCCTTATATTTATCCTTTCAATGTACTTCGATTCATTTTGGAGAGAAAACAGACAAAAACGGAGCTCACCTCCCGTCTGTCATCCCGTCAAGTACTTGAATAAGAAAATTGTCGCCGATAACAAAATCACGATGCTTGTGTTAGCAATGACACACGACGCTTACCTTACAGCAAATTTCGTGCGCGACATCTTCGACAGTTCCTGGCGCACAAGATTCAACTTCAAACGATGAAAATCAACGAGAAATGGAAAGACGCCGAGAGATTCAAACGCGCCATCACGATACGTTACAAGTTGCAGACTTCCAGGACTTTTGACCGCGCAAACCAACTTCGAGAATCGCAATATCATACTTTCGATATTACAATCGATGCGCGAGCCAATCGCAATGATCAGATTTGTCGGAACGATTGCAACGCAACGGTGGACCAATCGCAGCAGTCGATTAGTTCAGGAACGAAATTTGAAATATCGAAAAATTATTATTTTAAATAAACAAGCGCTATATAATTTCTTTTCAATAAGGATGCGTTCCATTTGACGCTTACAATGCTCGCGAGCATCATTTGTCCTTGTTTAACATTTGATAAGCAATAAGAATAAAATGATTTAAAGAGCGTCAAGTGAAACGCTGCTAAAAATGATATACTAAGTAAAATTAAATTAAGTATGTCTAATCTTCGAAGTTAGCAATTGCCTTAAAAATTCTCAGTTATATTTTATTCCCTTCCATTCAATCTTTTCGTAACATAATATTTAATAATTCACTCCTTTATGTAAAATTAAAATCCTGAACGGCATAAGACTGTAGATATTATAGTTATTGGAATGTACAGTGTCAAATTTTGACCGCATAAGCCTTTTACATTTCACTTTTCTCACGCTTATCTATTGACTGCAATGTCCTCTATGCTAAGAAAATTCCGCAGCATTTAAAATTAATATATTGTACAAAGTCAAAGATCACAAATCTTATTATATTTTCTTTTAAAGCAAAAGATCACAATTTAACGCTTCGCATAATTTTTATATTTTTCGTCTAATGTCGCACTTTTCTTTTACGTTATACAAACGTAGATATCTCGATCTGAAACTCAAATGATGATTACACGATACGTGTACGTTTTTTTTTTTGCAGGAAAGTTTCGCAAGGAGTTCAGGCGTACCTTCCGATGTTCCCACAACGATGGGACCTGCGCCCATAAAAGCGGATATGTCACGGGTATCTCGGATCCGCTCAAACAGAGATCTCGGAATTACACGAGGTCGATTCATACCATGTCCAACAACAATAATGTTCGGCAAAGCACCGAGGTCATACCTCTCAGTACCATAATCAACATAGCGCAAAACAACGAGAAACAGGAATGAGTCTCGTTTCTCGTATCTTAAATCTGCGCCAAATATTCTTCTACACAATTTCTTCAACCAGTGGAATCCAATTTCTCTTAACGATACCAAGACATCTACAGATTTTCAATAATTAACGATTGAAAGAAATTGGTTCTTAAGAGATTAAGACAAAACGAGCAAAAGTAGGTGAAAATTGAGAAAAATTGCGACAAATGATCATTTTCAGAAGAAGAAGTTCATATTTATTATCGAAGAAAATTGTAATTAAAAAAATATTTGGCGAGTTGCGCTTTGTGTACAGCGAATAAGGTATAATCTCTCTAAAGTCAATAGCTCAGTACATCCATAAATGTAATCGAATAGTTCCTATATAAATTGTTATATAAGTAAACCTCGTTCGCAATGAACTTTTTCAAAGTTCTGCTGAATCGAGATGAACTGAGTTGTATAGTATTCAATTAATGTAATAGGCAATTATATAATGTACATGTCCGCACGATATCGTTAAGATTTGCTGCTTTAAACATTTTACTTTATTATACTGTAGATATAGATGTAGATAACAATGTACATCACAGATCGATAACTGAGTGGAGACCTAAAGAGACGCACGATAAAATTCCAAAAAAGTAAACGTAAGAGTGTAAATATAAAGCGTTATATATCTATTCCGGCACTTAAAGCAGTTATACCTCGTTTTTTTCGTGTCACTTGCAATATTTATTTTTTTTTCCTATAATACATTTCAATCAAAATATATATCTACAAAGTTTAATAAAGTGTATGTAATCCTAACGTTTAAAGCTTAAAGTTATATTATATAAAGTTATTACTAGTGGTATTATATATAAGTTTTTATAAACTGTACAATATGCTACAGCGAATGTGTTTATGCTCGCTTCGTTTCCACTTACATTTACATTTTTATTGCGTAGAAGTGCCGTTCATCATATATAAATTTCCTGCCGAAAGTTCCCATTTTTTTCTCAAAGAATTTTGTAGTTTTTTAAGGCTTTGTATAACTTCGTGTAGTTATACTCTTAAATGTAATTAATCATGGCGAGTTAGAAACAAAATTAATTGATCGTTTTGTCTCAATCGCTCTCTCGCTGTTTTTTTGTAATATATTTGCAAAAATAATTGTCTTACTTCATTAATTAAATACTCTAGTATATTCAAGTTAGACCTTAGATGCACAAATATTGATATTGCGAAAGAAAAAAAAATACTCTGTATTATCTTTATGACAACGGTCGATTTGTATTTCTATAGAACGTGCAAAAACGGCCAGTGAAACTTAAAGCATGTAAATAAAATATAATAAAAAAGGATTCATTATAATAATAATGAAAGAAAAAACTAAATAGACATTAAAATCTGTTCACTTCTGTTACTTTCTTACATTTTCTGTCTTGTAAAATAAACTAGTTAGTTTATCTCACTCTTTTTTTTTCAAACGAGGCTAGGAATCGAAAGAAGAGTGCAGAAATGCGTTAAGAAGGCAGACGGAGAGAACAGAAATGTTAAATATTATTCAAATTGCATATAAAAAAAAGAAAATTGTTTTTATACATGTACAAAGATGCACACTTATTTTACTCAAATTGTATTTTGTTAATATTATAACTACAAACATTTCTCTGTAGGTAGTCATAACATTGAAAAAGTATATGTATATAGGATTATAACATGTCAGTTATATCGTGTCGCAGTCATGGCCCACGCAGAGCTGCCGAGTATATTATATCAATACACGATTAACATTCCTCGCTAAATAATAACCAGTTATAGGTACACTTCGTATATGAAAAGTTATTTCATCGTTATTTCATAATTCAGGCAATAACGTTAGCACGAGGCTACTATTTTAGATATTATTACAAATACGGATTATAGTTCCTATAAGTTAATATGCTTTTTACATGCTTTAAACTTATATTTAATAGCATTTAGTTTAATTCGTGTATCGATTCTTTGAAAAATTTCTTTACCCCTAAATAATAATCAGTAAAGCTTTCAAAGCTTCGAATCCGTCACTGCAATCATGTTATTATTGTTGTATGAAAAAATCCATTTCGATAAAATAAGAAAACATTTTCTGATAACAAATATCGGAAAATAACGAATCTTAATTTTTTTTTCTTTTACGGAAATGAATCTTTTTTTACTTTATTTCGCAATTTTAATTTAATTTACATGCATTGTATGTATCATCTTGGTCTCTTATCTCATATGGTATTTCATAAGCTCATTTTCAATGAAATTCATACACGAGTAAGGCTCTAATTAATTTTGATACACAAATATAAAGCATATAAGACATAAATATCGTAAAATCAATCACATATAATCTTTCGCTTTTAAATTAATGTATAAATGACTAGTGACGGATCAGCGGCTTTAAAGCTATGAATCGCGACGTACACGTCAGATAGTTAGTTTACTGCAATAACTGCATTCGAGACCATAATTTTAACGTTTCTCAATCTGTTAAAATATAATGAATTCACTAACACACTTCCTCGAATATAAATTGGCTGAATTAATAATTATTCTGCGTCCCTGATTCTATAGTGAAGATTGCATGCGCAATTGCATTACAGAATAAATATACAATTATGGATATGCGAATTGAACTATAAGACTTTCGCCCACGCGTGTCGTATATAATCCACGAAGTGACACTTCAACTTGCAGTAAATCGCGAGAGAGACGTGTGAATACGAAGCGCAATAATAATCACACTTTTTAGGCTGCAGCTTTCTCAACAATGGTACTTTCGGGAATTGCGGATTCAATGTTACCTAATTCTGTCTCGACGCTAGCCAATGTCGTTGGACTGTGCGAAACCGCATTTTTTTCATTAGAAGTCGCTTCTAATAGTTCCTTAACACTGACGCTATCGTCCAAGTTATCTTTTTTAACGGGTGACGCGTCAATAGTTATATGAGAGTCAGCATTGGTAATCATCTCTACCTCCTCGTCCATATTGTTCACTGTTCTGATCGTTTCCGTATCTTGATCCTTCTGGGATTCCTGATTCAATGTGCTCGGCTGCTCGGTTTGCGCACTGTCGAATTGTCCCGGCACAGGTTTCTCGTCACTTTCCACCATATTACCACTCTTGGCTTCTTGTTCAGTCTGTTGTTGCGTATTACTGCTAGATTGATTGTTCTGATACTGAGTGCTTCTACCTCTTCCTCGACCGCTCTGCTGATTATCAGGTGGTGGAAGAATAGGTATCGCTGCTTTCGGTCGCCGCAAAGGAGCTACTTGCTGCTGTTGCTGCTGTTGTTGCGCAGGACTGTAGTAAGTACATCCTTGCGGTTGGAACAATTCTTGGGGCGGCGGTGGACCCTGAGGCTGCAATATTAAAGTATACAAAATCATAAAATGTTCATATTGCATCTATCTTTTTTACGATTCTCTTTTTCCTTTTGGTATTTACACATATTTATTTTTCTCACCTGTACTGAAGGATTATATCCCTGATAGCCTTGAAAGTTTGGTGGAAATGTCGGGCCATTTGGACCGGGAACGTAATTAATTATACTAGGTGGTGCTGTTTGAGGTGGTATGAATTGTGGTGGTGGTACTAAGAATGGTGGTGGCGCGTAACTAGCAGCTTGTCCACCAGGCGGCAGAGAAATAACAGGTTGCCCTGCCATAGATGCTGTGGCTGGAGCAACCGGAGAAGACTGCTCAAAATGACTTTGGGGATAACCTGCAACGTTCACGCATGATAAATTAGTTTGCAATATTTCGTCAAATAATTGAAAATAATATATTATTTTTAATATATTTAAATAGAAATAATATATTTAGATAGAGATAACTTTTATATATTTATTTTTTATTTTATAAATATATATGTATATATATGTGTGTACGTATATAATTTTTTCTTACCTTGAGATTCTAGAACGGCTCTTGAATTTCCAGCTAGGTACGCGTATGCACAAGCGACACATTAATTTTAAGTACATGCTTGTATTAGGCCATGTAAAAGCATATATCATAAGAAATGGATTAGGAACATGCGTTAAAGTAAGATAAAGTATCAATATGCGTCATTACCTTGAGGTGGAAAATATCCATGTTGGGCATGTTGAGATGGATAATTCTGTTGTGCGGAAGTTTCCGTAATAGTAGGTCGTTGACGAAGACTGGAATATCGTTTAGGTCTATTTCCAGAATTATCCTGCTGTTGTTGCTGTAATGTTTGTTGTGGCGTATGCGTTTGTTGTTGATGTGATTGCTGTTGTTGTTGCATTCTAGGGGGTACCGTGTTTGATCTGTGTTGATTGGCGGATGTGAAAAAACCTTCTATATAAATTAGAAGAAAATAATAAAAATTAGACATCTCAGCTATGTAATAAAAATTTAAGTTAAAAGTATTAATAAGAAGATATTGTTTAGAAGAAACAATTTCTTTTTTTACATTTATATCCCTAAAGATGTTTCTCAGAATGTCAAAATCAATTTTTACATCAATTTAATTGTCAAATTTTCAAATTAGATTTTTTAATTATTCTTTACAAATCTTAAGGCCAGTATATGTAAACAATTTAATTCGTAAACCATAAGAAAGCGTATCGATCAATCGAGCATTCTAAAATTGTGATTGCTTAATTTACATAAAACCTTTTTATGTGTAATGGCCTTTTTTATCATCAGATTTACCTATTATGAATATATCTATAAAATTTCTTATTCTTTAAATATCATTGTACTTGACAAAAACTCACTGTTGTGTCGTGCAGATTGATGATACTGACTACCATCATTAATATTAAGTTGTTGTTTCATATCATGAGCAAGCTGGTGCTCTTCATTATGCTGTGTGGTATTATTCCTTCGATTCTCTATTGTAACCGGGCCCGGGCCGCGGCCTTTCGCTTTATTCTCAACTATTCTGTTAGTGACCATGTTGTTATTAGCATTGGACTTGAAACCTCTTCCACGCGTCCTACTTGCGACCAAGCTTACAGACTCTTGGGTGTTCCTCTTGTTATTTTCCCTTGATAATGGCTTGGTATTAGTCAACTTTTCTGCGTCACCACCAGAACCAGTGTTTCCATTTGTATTTTGATTTTGAGTAATGTGTCTACCATCTTTTTTCCAAGATGTATTAGTGGATTCATCTGACGCCTTATTTTCACTTCTGTAATAACATTTTTATCAAAATATACCATCTTGTTACTAATAAAAAAACTTGTTTACAAATATAATACAAGAAAACTGTTACACATACATGGATGTATTGGAAGCAATAGCAGGCTTAGTTTTTGCATTATCCTGGGATTGAAGCGGCGGGAAGTTTTGGGTTTTATTCTGTGTTTTATTCTTGCTGCTATACCAAGCTGACGAAATTACAGGTTCCTCTACTTTGTTTGGAGTATTCTATATCACAAAGAAAAATTGATAAAACTTGTAATAATTAATCGTGATAAACAACATCGTATATTTCGCAGCATTTACCTTACTATTACCAAGAGCGGGAAAATCTTCGTTATTTTTATGGAAGCGTCTGTTATTTCCTCTACCAGTTGTAGTCTTTCCATAAGCGTCTTCATCCTCCCAATTCCTTGTATACTTGTTAGGTCCACGACTGAGAAAATATGTCATATATAACATGATAAAAAAAATTAGGATTTAAAGAAAACAAAACTCCGCGATAAACTCACCCATATCTTCTTCTCCTTCTAGCTCTAGGTGGCCCTTCTTCATTTCTAATATCATAACCATACGTTGCTATCAATTCCTCAGGTCTTTTTGGAGCTTGCTCTTCGTCATTGTATCGGTCGTGGTCCCATCTGTCTTCCTTATCTTTCCATACCTTCTTTTCCTTGGTTTCTTTTGCATTCGTCTGCTGTTCTGTGTTATTCTCAGTTACTTCATCAGTTGTACGATCATCATGCTCATAAAACGTTCCTCGTTTCGGTATATACTGTGGGTTACGTCTGTCCTCATCATCATCCAACTTCTTCTGTGGTTTTTCCTCTTCTTGTCCATCTCCACTTTCACGTTGTTCCCCGCCTTCTTGTGATTCGGCATCTGAGTCGCTTTCATAAATGTCACATTCTGAATCTTGATGTCCATCAGTTTGTTCACTACTCTATAGAAAAAAAGCAGATTGGTCAATATAATATATTAAAACTAGTTTCAAATTATTTTTGAAAGCTAAATATATATCAATAGAATGTCAATCAAAATTTATTTGTGTCAATTATTTATCAATTGTGTATTTTTAATATATGTCAATTATATATACATAAATATTTTTTTATTTTTCTACGATTAGTCCTTATCTTCATCAACCTATTGATTGATTCCACTGATTAGCTATCTGTGTAATCTTTATTTAGTCAATATTATGATAAAAGAAAAAGCAGAAAACAATGCTTTTGTATGTAATATTGTTAAATTACATAAATTAACTAAAGTGGAGATAATTGATTTTTCTCTCCTTATCTCTTTCTCACCTTCATCTATTCGTCATATTTTTTTAAATAAAACTATACAGTATATATAAAAATATATATCTGACCTTAAGCAATTAATCTTGCAATAATTCTTTTGTAGATTAACAGTTAACTTTCTGCAAACGAAAGATTTGATTAACTGTAACATTTTTTCACTAATTCTAATATCCAATAATACATATCTTGCTAATTAATTTTTAATAATGAAATAAAGCCTAGAGATCATTTAACAAATAAGAGTTTTAACTTTAACAGAATAATATAAATTGAATACAACTCATTCTGAATGAATTGATACATCCAAGCAAATCAAAAGCCAATAATTTCTTTCCTTTCTCCCCCCCTTCTCTCTCTCTCTCTCTCTCCCACTCACTCTCTCTCTCTCTCTCTCTCTCTCTCTCTCCCCTTTTCTTTTCTTTTAGCTAAAGTATCCTTAGCTAAAAGCAAGAAAGTCGATGAAGCAATTGATAAAACGATAAAAAATTATAGAAATATCAGAAAAAAACATCCAAATTACAAATAATGTATTCATAAGAAAAAGATGATATCTAGAGAACCTCTATCAGTACTGGTCCACGACCTCCACGATTAAGCCATAAAGCAGACTTTCGTGACGCTGATTGAAGATAAAATTAATAAGCGCCGAATAATCGCTGCATGTTTTCAGATGGAGAGATTCTCGTCTGCGATCTTTTATACGAGAAAGTTCGCCTGAGGTTTGGGGGGGGAAATCGCGAAGCGCGCGCGGAAACGCAGCGCTAATCCGAGCAAACGGGGTGGATTCTCATGCAGATCGACATTCGTCTCTCAGGGACTTATCCTCTCGGCGATAATCGAGTTCCACTTACTTGAGTTTCTTTTGTAGCGTTTAGCTCCTCGTACGAATCCGAGAGATCGTCGGAACCGCATGACTGATTGGATTTACGACGTCGCCGTGTATCCGACATTGCTTCGTTCAGCACTGAGAGATATTACGTGTTTCGTTTCCTCGTGTCGGCCCTGAGAACGGATGAGAAACAAGGGGAAAAAAAATTACTCCGAATCTCCGCGAAATATCCCGCGATGCGTCGAGCAGACCTCTCGTCATGAAACCGAACGTCCGTGTATTGTCAAAGCTCGACAAGAGTGACGAGTGTTGACTCTGAATCAGCGAAAACACCTGGCGACAAAAACGCGAACTTTTCCGGAAGTTCGTTAACTAAAGGTGCCTTTTCATGTTGATGCTCGACGTTCATTGGCTGCGTTCAGCTGACTCAAGAGTTGAGTGAGTGCTCGCTGTTATTGGTATATTTTTTAGATCATCCAATCAAAATTTTAGATCTACAATTTGAAAGTGTGAAAAGTCTTTGAAGTTTGTGGAATAACTTCAAAGAAAAATTTAGGAACTAATTAAATCAAAATAAGAAAGGACTATGAATATGGGTGTTAGTGCTCTTGCAGCTGATTGGCATATTCCGTTAGAACTAGAAATATAGACCAAACAGGTACAAGAGTTTACTGAGCGCTCAGTGAGTGATTGTAGTACTAAATGCACCCATTGGTAGTACACTGGAAAATTACTAGGTACCGATCGATGTGAGTGGATGTGCAATTGCGCCGCTTCCTTTTTGTTTTTTCTTCTCCGAATAAAGACGCACCCTAGTTTGTTCGTCTCCCTCCTCACCGTCCATCAATCGTCGCGCAATCGCGAGCGGACACGAAGTACAAGCTGCGCAGCTGTCAATTATATACATGTTTGACGCACATTACCGTATGGCGTATACGCGGCGATTGGCGATCAAAACATGATATGACATGATAGAATAGCCGAGAAAGATGTGGGGAAACTATTGGGATGTCTACAATGTGTTGTGTGTGTTGATCACCCTCGTTCACGGACACGATTTTCGGCACTTTGACGACACGGTCATATTCAAGATCAACTGGCCCGGAAAGAGTGACGCAGATTTACTGGTGAGTACACCCGGCGCAGATCTTATCTAACCGATCCCCGTGAACTCTCGAGCGACGATACCGTCATTTGTCCGACGTGTGCTCCGGATCTTTTCTCCTTTTCAGGAATCTCACGCGAACGCGGAGCCGTATTTCATAACCACCGCCAACAACGAGCGGTACAAATGCGTCATCCCGGACGCGACCGAGCAGGAGCATGAATACAGCGAGACGTATGATGGGCCAAATCCAATACAGCTACTCCAACCGATATTTGCTCAAAATAGTTGCTCTTATAGGGTACACGACATAGGCGTTTATATCATCTATTATTTTCATTTTTCTTGATACTAAGTTCTTTTTGTAATACATTCCCATCAACTTAACATTATTATATTTGTCACATAACAATTTTTTTAGACGTTTTAATTGACTCTAAATTCTTTAGAGTAAATCATACTTTAAAGAATTTAGAGAACATACAGAGAGTTTTAGGATTTAGAATCTCTATTCTATAATTCATTAATTAAATTTGAAAGATTTGTTGTATGACAAATGTAATATTGGCTGTAGTCAGCAAAATATTAGCAATTTGTCTACTAATTACTGGTAAATTCTATTAAAATATTCAGCAAATTGATATCAATTGCATTAAACTTGTGTTGCGCTGATAAAAAAAACTTACTTGACATAATAAGAGACAAATTGCCGACAAAAACCAATCAAAATTTTAATTGATTTTTGCTGTTAATTTGCTATTAGATTGTCGGCAAACTTTGTTCTATTTTGCTGTCACAATTTGTGGTGGATTTTATTATATACATGCCACTATTTTGATGTCATTAAATATAATAGAATTTGCATTAATTTGGTACTTTTTTATCAACAAAATTTACAGCAAGCATTTGATGCAATTTGTTTTCAAACTCGACTGACTAGGTTCATACAGTATAGATCAAAAGACATCTGTAAGTTCTAAAGACGTGATCAGATTGGAGATTGAGATTGAGATCGGATTGGATTTTAACCAATCAAAGCAAAGTTTATTAAATTTGAGATTGATTTTATCTTTTCTGATTGGTTAAATTTCAATCTCTAGTCTAATCATGCCTTAAGGACGTTTCAAGGACGTTCCTAAGATACAGTTTACTGTGTAGATTTTTAATAAACATCGCTCGTTGCTAATTTCTTACCTGAATTTAATTTTGACACATAGCTAGAGTCATACTGGACTTACGAATTGTGCCACGGTAGATACGTACGCCAGTATCATGAAGACAGAGAAGGAAAAAAGATTAAGATGCAGGAATATTACCTTGGCACGCTGGACAAAGCGCAAAGGGCGAAACTCTCGGCCTATTATGATGAACAGGCGAAGAATCCAAACAGGAAGTTATATATACCCATCAAGAAGATCGACGGGATTAACATGCCGTACGTCGAAATCGAGATGACTGACGGTACAATGTGTGATTTGAATAACAAACCGAGAACTGTCAAGATATTGTACGTCTGTTATAAACATGGTAAACACGATGTGTATTCGCTGAAGGAAACCATGTCCTGCGAATATGAAGCGATTGTTCTATCGCCAGTATTGTGCAATCATCCCGATTACAAACCACAAGACACTGGGGAGAATCAAATTACGTGTCAGCCTGTGGATAATGCACTGAAGAAACCAAAGTCGCTTATGATGATGGAGCTAGAAAGTCTAAAAATCCGACAGCAAGCGAGGGTAAATCTGCAAAGAGTTTGATATTTGCACTCTTTTATTAAGCTTCTTCTTTACTTTCTACTTTCCTTGAAATATTATTTGACACATATTTATACCTTGTTTACGCGTATATATTAGTAGCTATATCTGTTCTGTTTTTTATTAATTGAGCCAAGTATTTTGCAAAATAACGGTATGTTAAAGGGATTCTAAAGTCGTGTGTTTTATTGACTTTAAAAGCGATTATTTTCTATATTTTTTTATATTTTAACTGCCTTTACATATTTAAAAATTCTTTTCCACAATTAAAGTATAAACAGTAATATAGTCAACTTTATGTCAAAAAAAGTTGCAAAATTATAATTTTGTTATCAGCTTGACTCACACATACAATGGTGCAGACTTATAACAGTATTTGCTTTCTACAAGTTTTATTCTTTGTATGTCTAAAACAGTTTTGGTTTGTGTTAAGGATTATATGAATAATGTTGAGTTTTTTTAGAATTATTAGGTTTAGATATCTAATATGAAAGATTAGTTACTTAGAAAATTTGTACGTATGAATGCGCGCGATATTGATGCAGTAGTGTATAATAATGTGTCAATGATACATAAATTGTATGATGTAAGTCTTGTTAAGTCAATAAAATAGACGACTTTGAGATCCTCTTAATAACAGAGAAGCTTGCGTCACGTACTAAAATTTGTTAATGATTTTAGATCTGAAAATTTCACAATACTATAGAGAATACTGCTTTTATTCTTTAAACTATTAATACACTTAGATTTAACTAAAGCTTGTATAATTTTGATAAATAATAGTACTTTAATAATATTCTGTGAAACTTTAGTTTTCAATACTAGGCATTTGATTTCTTTCTTTTCGTTTCAGTTTACCATTTATTTACTGTCTTAATTTGTTGCACAGGATGACAAGCCGCAGAAAGTGTATGCAATCCTCCATGTAGATAAGGAGGGCCAGGTCAGAATATTTTGCATATATGGGAACAGGATTAACGCTTGTTGATCATTATATAGTATTAGTTTGTGCAAATGTTATTTTCATTCTGTCCCTTCTTAATCTACATATTCCGATACGTTGTCCATTATTACTTCACCAATATTTAATTCCCCCTTTTTGGCATTTATAAAATTATATTTAGTATTATTACATAACATATAATTTCCTATTCTTACACATATTGCTAGTATACTTTAAATAATATTGTGCAATTGTGTTGCCATTATCATTTCTACGTTGTATTAATAATAACAGCAGTGAATGAGAAACACATAATAATAATAATATGTAATTACTTTATATGCACTTGAAATAATCTATTATATCATGCTACATTTACAGTTCATCATGTACAATTTGCACATTAATTGTATTTATGCACGATGATAATTCTTTTCATAATCAAGTAAACAAATCTTTTTTATCAATTATATAGTTTCATCGCGTAGAATTTATTATAATGAATTGATTACAGGATGGCGAACCAAGAGTGAGGGTTGAGATACATCCACTGGATGTCCCAGATAAACATGATAATATCGATGAATCCATCAGTGCAATGCAAACTGATCAGAATATTAGTCCTGCCGAAGTTAGTCCTGTCCAGAATTTCCTCAGTGGAAAGAATTGTCTGCACGGAGTATGTATCTTTAGCTATCACTCATTTTGTTCTCGTTGAACAATATATTTTTTTAATGATGTGTTTTCTTTATTCTTAGGGCAACGGTTGGTGGAAGTACGAGTTTTGTTACGGGCGTTCTGTCGTTCAATACCACATAGAACGAGATGGTACAAAGACGATTGTCAATCTTGGTAGATTTGATAAACAGAAACATTTGGAATGGATCGCCGCGCATCCACAAAAGAAACCCAAACCATTAGAATTAAGGAAACACCTCTCACATTTTTACAGCGATGGAAGTAGCTGTGATAAGACTGGAACTTCTAGACAAACCGAAGTATGCGTTGCTATGAAATTTAAAAAATATTGTTGATTTGGAAAAAGATAAAAATTACCTTTCAATTTCATTTTATGATAATTGTAAGAGAAATTTTTATGTTTTTATTGATTGTAATAAAACAAATTGAATATTTTCTTAATAATTGATAAAACATTTTCCAAATTAGAATGTCTGTCGCAATATTTAAAATACTTTAAAATGCTGAAATTCTTGAGTTTTGATTTGCGTCAATCTTCTTCCAAATCAAAAATGGCTTCTTATAACGTCTACAGATATCTATAATTTCATTTCACTTTCCTTACCTTACGTTTGTTTTAGGTAAAACTAAAATGTGTGGAGAACCATACTGCAAGTCCATCTAGTGTATCATTATTTTTATTGGAACCAAAAACTTGTGAATACGTTCTGGGAGTCGAATCACCGTTAATCTGTGATATCTTAGAATATGCCGACGAAAATGGACTTCTGAACGATAAG